ACTGGAGGACAAAGCTAATTCTATGTTGCTTAGCTTCAGTAGCATCTGTGTGTTCAGAATTGCATAGCTGAGAGTAAGCACTGACACCAAGGATCTGTTTATTTCCTTCGGTAGTAGTCTGGTAAAATCTAAACCAATCTCTGATTTGTTATTTGAAGAGAGTAGATAAAAGGAGTGCAGCTCTGTATTAATGCTTGTACTAACGTTCAGCAAGTGGCCAGCTTGGTTTCTCTTGGTCCCTCAGCATGAGGTCACCAATTTTGCTGTGAAGCTTTGAGCTGCTCTGGGTTAAACACGCTGTTCCGTGGCATGAGGCACTGCTGCTGGTTTGTGTGTCAGTAGCGCAGCTTTCTGAGGGGACTCCTTGGCTCTGCTTGAAACATCGGCACAGACAAAGGGCGCTTGTTGGGTCCGTTGTTGCTGCTGGAAGTTGAAGCAGGGGAGCGCTGCTCTGGGAAATGCTGTGACTCCTGGAAAAATCAGAAGGCGCTCATTAAATGCTGGGCTTTATCTGCCTCTCTCAATGAAAGTGCTTTAGTTCCGCCTGTGGCGATGGTTCCCATAGCAGGGTTGCGTAAGAGCCGCCCTCCCTGTGGGAGTTAACCCCCCCTTCCAATTTGCGAGTAATATTTGCATATGTATTTCTCAGCTGCATTGCCATGCCAGATGCACAGTGGTGGCTGTCTCTGCCAGCTAATCCTGTAATAACATTCTGGTGACCGAATTCAGTGGCCCTGTGTGGAGCCTCCAAACAGCTGATTGCTGAGTAGGGAGGGAGAAAAAATCACCCAGCGAATCTCGTCGCAGCTCTCTACCGCATCCCTATCCCACAATCCCTTGCACGATTTGCTGCAGTCTTCCCATACAGGCTGAGTGAGAAAAAGATGTGCTAAATAAAGATTGATTGGTCTGAATCCTGAAGGGGTCTCCCACTTGTAAATGACCTGGGGGAAAAGAATTCATGACGACTTCACTGGGCCTCCTCTCATTCTTCCCTTTTTCTTTCCACCTGTCCTCTTCGTGGGATGAAGCATCATTCCTCAGAGCACAAAATACCTTGTGCCTCTCATACTGACCGTGCTGTGATAGGGATCCTTCACCAGTTTTACATGTGAGCCTTGAGATACTGACAGATGATGTTTTATCCGTTTGGACTCCTGCGGAACTGCAGCTCCATCCCTGCAAGGATTTTGTCCTCAGCACTGCACTGATTGAGCAGTTTTTCGGCAAAGATGGGTAGGTCTAAAACGCTCAAGTTTGCTCAGTGTTGTTCCTGGTGGCTGCTGCTGGGTTGCTCCTTCTGTTTTGGCCCCGAATGTTTGTTGTGTTTCTGCATGCTGTGAGAGTGAAGAGGGTTGCTGTATTTTAAACAAGGCACCAAACTGGTTGCAAGAGTGTGAGAGAGAGGAATGCAAATGTAGCTTATCGAGCCTTCTCCACCAGTCATCTGTGTGGAAATTCTGATTATTAATTTACACAATGTGCTCTGTACTGGCTGATTTCGGTGTGCTGCTATAAATGCCTCGTACCTGTCCACAGAAGCGTGGACAGGCACTGTATCTGTTTTAAGCAGTTTTAAACCCCAGCACCCCCAGCATTTCAAGCGACATTGTTGAGGTTCCCCACCCTTTCTTACAGCTCCCAGGCCTGACTTCCTTTGCAAACGTTGCCAAGGGAAACCTGTCCATTCATAATGCATGAATAGACCCTCTGGGTTGTGAATACCATTGATAAGAGGAGGATGAACAGGCTGCAAGCTATTTGTTCTCCTCAGGCTAGACTTTCAGGCTTGTTGCAGTTCTGGCTGGGTGGAGTTCAGTGATAGCAGTGTATTGGCAGCGGAGGGTTCTGCTCTTTTAGACAAAAATCCTGTGAGATATAGAGTTAGAAGTTTTCCAAGAGTCTCCCTCTTGGGTGGGCCACAAAAACTGAGAATTCGGTAATGGCTCAATAATTGTAGAGCTAATTCAAAGAGACTTGTAGATAAGGGGCATTTCTCTGTTACATGACTCAGTTAATATGAAGCAGCTCTTCTGGAACTGTTACTTGCTGTTCCTGAACGTTTTCCTCCCTTTCTCATATTGTATATTATGGTGTTCTTTCACAGATGCCTCGGGCCACACCCTGACTTCAGCTCCTGAAGGCATGCATGCGTAGCAGGGCCAGGCTTTATGCTGGCTTGGAGATCCATTGTTTCCTCCTTTCTTTGCCGTATAGCTTATTTTGAACGGAAATTAACAGTGAAGGAAAAAAGAATAATGTCAATGTTGGGGTGGCTGGAAAAATGATGCTCCTTGAGCTCAATAGAGTGATAAAGGGGACGCTTTTCCCAACCCCTTTTTGCACTAGATTTGGCAAACCTGATGTAGGTTTCCAGTGTGTGCTTCTTAAAGATAAATGGGTGGGGTTCTATGTCTGGTGTGATGCAAGGTTTCAAAACCCTTTAGCTTTCCATTTTACATTCTGAAGTGTAAATATAATGAAAAGTGATTCTCAAAGTTATTTTCAAAGGTTGTCTTTTGGCTGTGTTTTTGGACTGTGTTTTTGGATGTGAGGCAAAGGAACCCCTGAAAATCAACTGTGGCAGGTCCCAAATCCAGAAGATGCTACTAAAAAAATATGTTTGTCCTGTTAAAATAGCAGTCATACTTGATAAAATCTCCCATTGCCATCTGAAACTTACGTTCTATTTTTGAGGCATTCCAGTTAATTATAATAAATGCTGCCATTGTCTAAATTCAAATGGGTCATCTAAAATGTGCAACTTTTCCTCAAAGAGTCTTTGGTTATATGATTTTTTTTCATTGAAACAATAAGTAATATCGTCATTTCCATAACTGCATCACATTTAGCAAAACTGCATCAAAGGTGAAGTTGGCTCAGGGAGGCTGCAGCATCAGATGTTCAAACTTGGCAATAACGTACTTAAGAAACTTTGTAAAATGAACTACTTGTGTAGTTGTTGTACCATACAGAGGCCACAGATTGAAATGTGCTGATGAAATTCTGTTTTCAGGTGCACGATTGAAGCTTGGTTCATGTCAGTGTAGGGGGTAAATGACAATGATGGCCTACTGTGATCCAGACAAAATAATAAATATTAAAAATGCTTATTTCTGAAGTCATGCTAATGCTCTTACACTGGTAGTGTGAACATCTGAAAATCAAGGTGGCTGCAATCAGGCTTACAGACGAAAATGCTATGAATCACCTGATTATGCAGTGAGACTGGGGGAATTTAGAAAACAAGGATGAAAATCAGATGAAATGCGCATGAAATTTTACAGGCAAAAGCGACTTCTCCTCATGTAAGCATTTTTGGCTGGTGTAGCTGTATTTGATAGCTGAAAAAGAAATTACAGAAAGTCGTATTTGTTTGCTAGAGAACTGCTATTAATGATAGGCAGCTATACGGAGAGCTTTCATATCTTAGGTACATTTTTTTTTTTTAAATAGTCTGTACTGAATGCATAACAAAGAAAAGCTGCACTGTTCATAACTTACTGGTGACTGGTTTGGAAACTGTGCTTCTGATGAGAAGTCCTCCTGATTCTGATTATCTTGCCTGTCGTGTTTGGGTCCCACCCCTCTCCCTCTTGGTAAGGAAAGTGCAGCTGCATCAATAGTGAAAACATTTATATTTAGAAACACATTGCTGCAGGTCCAGCTGAATGCATTAACACATATTGGATAGTGTTCTCTTTCTACTCCCATCTGTGAAAGCTGAGCATTTTCATTCTTATTCTTGTAAAGCCTTTTTTAACTCCAGCTTTTAAAATGTAGCGTGGGTTCATAACTGACACCTCAAGGTTTAATATGTGTCATTTATGGCACTTAGATAGCTAAATTAATTTGTGTTTATACAATATTCATATTTTTATCTTAGTGTGAGAGAAGAAATGGAGAAAGGAAAACAAAGGATCAATTCTGAAGTTCCATGTTTTTGGGTCATTGAACAAACATTGCATTGCAGGAATATTATAGCGCTTTTTTTTTTTTTTTTTTTATTTTTTTTTTTTTTTTTTAAGCTCTATGGTTTCACCATTTTTCAGGGGGAAATAAAATGGCACATAAGGGCCTCCCATCAATTTTGTGCATGGAGTTTCACATTGGATACTGCTTTAGGCTAGTTTAACTGTGATTAACTTTGTGCTGCTAGCTGAGAGGTAGATCTCCAGGGCTCTGTTAGCAGGAGGTCAGTAGAAACTGCTCCTTGGTCACCTCTGTTTTCCTAGAAATAGTCACTGGTGTCTTGCAATAAGCAAGTTGTACCTGCCCTGCTAAATGCACAGCTCAGGGAGAGCGGCTTATCCCTGGCAGAAGAGCAGGCTGTGTGTTCAAGCACTGGAAGATCACATGTGTCACTGCTGATAAATGTCATGGGCCACAGAAACCTTTGCAGAATCAAGTGACCTTTAAATGAGCGTGATCAGCACCTGCAACAGAGGGCTTGTCACTTCTGTCTTGGAAAGCCTGAGCTGCTTAGAGACCAAGTATTGACTTGAGCCTCCTTATATTCAAACCTGCTGTATCTTTGGCACAAGGGGCACTTATAAGTGGGAAAAGTGTTAGGTGAACCATTTTTAAACTCTGTGTTGCAGCCATTTGGCTGTGCAGTTTCATATTAAACATTTTGCCAGCAGTACTGTAGATGTAAGAAATCCGGTGTTTGTTAGTACTGGTTTCGCCTTCTGGCACAAAACCATTTTTGTTGTGGGATGTCTTTAAAACCAGACAGCTCTGTAACAGTTAGAGTACAGAGGCAACATGCCTTTCCAGAATGCCTACTCTGACAGAGGTGGTATAGGTTGTTTCCCACGCTCTCATCAGCAGTAAGATGTTTTAGAAGTTGAATTCTCCCTTGCATCCATCTTATATGGAAATATAAATTCCTGCATCAGGATGAAATATGGGTGAATTTATTGTTGATTATGTTATTTCACGGAGACTGTAAGACATCTTTCTTCTTGTGTTTTTTTTTTTCCTGCCACCAACTGCAGCAGTGCGCAGGGTAGAAGGGAACAGGACCCATATGTCAGTGGTCTAGGATGGCCAGTGAAGGCTCCAACATCCCAAGTCCTGTGGTCCGTCAGATTGACAAGCAGTTTCTGATTTGTAGCATATGCCTGGACCGCTACAAGAACCCCAAAGTACTTCCCTGTCTGCACACTTTTTGTGAAAGGTAAGTCCCTTCTTTGTGCTTCTAAATAGGCATTTGTCTTGTAGGGGGGGCAGTGACTTTTTCCTGGTAATGGACATGTAGAGGGACAATAAATTCTGGGAAGGCTAGAGAAGCAGGGATGTAGCAACTTTTATTTGCATTGGGGAGGATGAAGGGACATATTTGGATTATGTTCCCTTTATACTGGAGTAAATAGAAAGGAAATGCCATGAAAAACATGAAAGTTGCACCGGTATGTGTAAGGTGGCAATCAGAATTTGGATCTCTAATTAATAACCTTAAATTTATACTGCTTAGTTAGAAACAATAAAAGCCTTTCTTTGTTGATTTACTAAGTATAGAAAAAATTATCCCATCCTTTAATGTCCAAGGGTTCGACACGTTATTTACATTATTAATAACTCGTGATTAAGTATTCTCATTATTTTGCAACTTGTTTGAATGAAGTAGAAAACCTCTCTGAAAAGCAGTGGGGGAAAATACTGCAGTCTTATACTGTATTCAGCTGAACGTAATGAACATACCTGGTGATGTTTTAATGTTATATTGCCCATTCAAATAGTGGAGAGAATAGAGCATCTGCAAGATTTATTGATTAGAGGTCTTGATTGAGGTGGGTTGCAGCTGTTTGGGTTATATGTTGAATGGTAGGAAAATAATAGTAAAAGATGCTTTGTGTGACCATTAGTTTACCTTCTTATAATTACAATGAACATATTTAATTTTACAGGATGCAAGAAAAATTGTGGGGTTTTGAGTGTGTAAGACAAAATGGTCTTTTGTAGAAGAATAGGAGACTGATTTTACTGAAGTCAGCAGTGAAACTCCTGCTGCAGTCAGTGAAGCTAAGATTTTTCACCATCATGTCTTTCTTGACTTTGGTTCATGTGTAAATCCTAAAGTCAGCTTCTGGTTTTCAGTGTAACCCTTTTATGCTGATCTGGTTATAGAGAGAGGTTGGAAGAACTCCTCTGGTGTACAGCTGATGTACAAAGCCTAAGCTCTCCTTTCACAGAGCCCTTCCTGGGGGTCAGAAGAAGGGCAGCCAAGGGAGGATGAAGAGTGGTGCAAGCAAAGCCTTTGGAAGTGGATGAGAGCCACACAGCTCTGCGAAGTTGCACTTTCTTGATTGGCATCTTGTGAAGAACGTGGTGTAGCACTGCTTGCTTTTCAGACTCCCCAAGAACTGCTTTCTGCAAAGCTTCCTGTCCTTACAAGACTATATTGAATTGCCAGTTGCAGTCAGATGTTGCACATGGCACAGTTGTTAACTTGATATTCCAAGGCAGGAGTAGAACAAACCGCTGCATTTTATGGCTCGCAGAATTTTTGTGTCAGATTAGTATTCTGTATAAATCAGTCTTCCTAAAACAGAGAAAATAAAAAACTCAAACACAAAAATTCTCTTAAACTTTCCTTGACGTAAACTGATAACTTAAGGCATGCTTCTCTATATAGTAAAGAGCAAAGCAGAATGAGATCTATTGATTCTTGCTAACTGCCAAATAACATTCCCAATTGAAATAAATGGAAAATTTTCCGTTGTCATCATTAGGACCAGGTTTTAGGTCTGAAAAGACTGCAGATAGAAGCTAATAAAGGAGATTCTATTGGAAAGACAAAGGTCAGCTATTGGCTGATGCAATAACTTCTTGTCTGTCAAATTTTATCGGATAGTTTATCATTTTTACTGTCTTGGGAGCAGTACACATCTCAAAGAATGGATCCACTCAGCATGAATGTCTCAAAGAAAGTGCATAACTCTTACGATGATGTCGGCTTATTGAACATTTTTTATGTGGCAGAGAAAAAAGATTTAAAGGTTAAAAAAATCCCTATAATACTTTACTTCTGAAGCCAAGAATATGATTTACCTTTCCTTTTATAAGTAGAGACAGTGCTTTTCAAATGATTTCTTAAATGAAGGAAGGTTTTTTTCCTCTTTGACAACAGCTTCCCTCTCTCTTTCTCCCCTTCCACCTCCTGTTCCCATAGGTGCTTACAGAATTACATTCCAGCCCATAGCTTAACCCTTTCTTGCCCCGTGTGCCGCCAGACTTCCATTCTGCCAGAAAAAGGGGTTTCTGCACTCCAGAACAACTTCTTTATCACCAACCTGATGGATGTCCTGCAACGAACACCGGAGAACAGCATTGAAGAGTCCTCCATCTTGGAGACTGTCACTGCTGTTGCTGCAGGCAAACCGCTTTCCTGCCCCAATCACGATGGAAATGTAAGTGAGACGAACTCCTGTGAGATGCATAGGGATTGATATGTACTGACTGGTCCAGTTTGCCATGGGTATTTTATTTTGAATTAGAGACAAGGGGAAGGATTGAAATGAAGTGAGTTATTTTATAACTTTTATAATATTTCAGTAAAGACAGGTGGCTTCTTAAAATTAGCAGTACTCAAATACATTTAGTGGAGTAGAGGATTGCATCTTAAAGTAGTCATGATATGGTTTGATTTTATCAGCTATTTTGGATGAATCTGCCTTCTGGCTCATTGGGTCATAATTGCTCCTCTACAAGCATCGAGCCTTTTGTCTTTGGGATGGGTTTCCATAGCTCTCTGACTTGTAGGCTCAGAGTTGTTGTGGGAACCTGTGGACTTGTTTTGGCAGTATGAGGCAAGCACCTTATAAGCACAACTGACATGCATATTGGCCCAGTAAGATCTGAGGCAGGCCCCAAAAGCCATGTGAGCATATTAATACAGGAGCAAGTAAAAGGGTACTCCAGCTCTGGGTCAGCAGAATGAAAACAAGATGTTTCTGTTTCACCACTGTGCTTTATGCATCTCATGTACCAGACCTTGTACCAGACCCTGTTTTGTTTTGTTTCTTTCTTCCACCTACTTAATTTGCCCAGCATCCCCTCACATTCACCCACAAAAAGTATCTATGTCATTGACAAGTGCTCCCAAACTGAGGAGGTGCTCCCGTATTGCATTGGCAACTCTGCTCTTACTTCAGCATTTTCAACATTAACCTGTGTGACTTCATGGTAAGCGTATCGGCTCCTGTCTCACAGCCAGGCTTTTGCAAGCATGGAAGTACACCCAAAGCTGAGCCACACTGCCTGCAAACTGCTGTGCAAACCAAAAAATGTATGCCAGTATTTTAAGACAACTTCCTCAGAACTGTTTCATTTGATATTCAGTTTAGGTCTATAGATTGTATAGGAATATTTCAGTTGATAGGTATTGGTTGCTTTTAGAGGGACAGCTTGTTTCCCTCTCCTTTACTAACCTGCTGCAATTGGGTTGATTACAGAACAGATATGCTGTACAATCCGATTACTGTGTAAGTGATGTAGCTTTTTTTAATGTGTGCTATACCTGTATATGTGTAATGGCTATTGGTTAATACATTTCTAGTTTTCCTTTGCATTTTAATGAATTGTCTTAAAATGAAATACTGTTCTTTTTTGATATAGTGGTTGTGACAGGAGCCATTTGATTGTGAAATGTGTAAAAACATCAGAATAAGATGTTGCTTGTTTTGCATTTTGCATTATCAGCTGATAATTCTTTGGCTGTGCTTAGAAAAAAAAATAATGCTTGTCTGCAGTGAAAGCAATTTTCACCTTCTACCTCTCTGAAAACTGCTTTCTAGGAAAAGTTGATTTAATAAGTCCTCTAAAATAAACTTACTAGGCTTGCCTTGAAACACAGTGTGTCTCTTCAGGTGCTGATATTGATACGATGGAAGTATCTTCTTGCTCCAGTAAGTTTTTGTGAGGGAGTTGAGGGGAGTCTGAAGGCAACTCCAGATTAAAGCTTTTGCTAGGAGATTAAAAGTCAACTTTCCCACATTCCTCCTTGTGATAGGAGGAGCTAAGTTTGTAGAAGAACTGATTGAGGTTGGGGACCCTCAGACTGGCTGAGGACATGGGCTTTTCCTGCCTTCACAGGTACACAGCATGAGGACAATATATGTCAAGGAGTAAGTGCCTGGCTGCCAGCAACTGTGCAGGTGACTTTGGAGATTGGATGACGGGGACTGAGATGGTAGCTGGACAAGAATGCGTGCAAAGAACAGACAGTCATTCTGCACTGATGTCTCCATTCATTTTTTTTTTAATTGCTTTGGGTATAATTATATGTAGTGTAGAGTCAGATCCATTGCGTTTTTACTATCCAGGGAAAAATCTGCAAGAACATTTTATTTAAATACTGCTAGATTTTCTTTGTGTTAGTTTAGAAATAAGTTTGTGTTTAAACAAGCTTTTTCAGTCTCTCTAGCCATGCTGGCTTTAAACCTCTGTGAACTGATGCAGTTATTTTCACATTGACTTTCCTATCTGCTTCTGTCTTGGCCTTCCTGAGGCCCTGTAAATTAGGTACTTTCCCTTCCAGTTGGTCTCCTGGACACCGCTGCTGTTTTCCATCCTTGTGTGCACATCCTAGTCCTTCTGTGCACATCCTCTCACCCTGTTGTGGCACATTTGTGTGTGTGCTTATGACGAATGAAACTCAGCTTGTAATACCTTAACATAATGATTTCCTGTGCTTGAACTATAAACCAATACTTCCTCATTCACCCAACACAGCACAATAGCACATCTTTGTGAAATTGGGGTAGTAGGGCACATATGCAATGGAACTTCTGAACCTAAGAGAAGATTTTTATCTTCTGTCTTCCCATGGAAATAACATCAGCGTTATTCTCATTTACTGAACACCTACAGCTCCTGTTATTTGTTTTTTTTTCCTTCTTTTATCTGAACTCAAAGTGAAACATAGCTTAGATCCTAAGATCCACACTTCTATGAGTGCAATTTATTTTCTCTTTATAGAGTACAACAAGAGAGCATATCCAATGCTAAATTAAATGCTTTTTAACAGAAGTGCATGTCTTATCCGACTAGCTTTTTTTCTCGAGATATCAGATAATAGCTTGATGTATTGACACAATATTGTTGCTTGCTACCTGTGTACTACTAGAAAAATGAGCAATCACCTATCCTTCATATTCTGAAGTCTCTTCATAAGATTCCTTTTAAACCTTTTCTTTCCTCCTTGCTTCTGTACTTTTTAATATCTCACTTATTTGTGACATTCAAATCTAGTGTTGTTTGGGGTTTTTTTTTTTGTACTCTGTAAATAATATTCAGTGTGACTTTGAGATTAAATGAAAAGTCAGAATATCAGAGTTTACCTTCAGTGAGCAGTAGAACTGATAAACTGAGCTAAATGCTGGCAAAATGTTTTTCTCCCTGACTAGAAACAGAAATACAGTTAGGAAGCAGTACAGTTACTTTGATATAATAACATTTGATTAAATTGGAAAGATCTACAAGAGATTTGGGATGGTTTGCTTGCATGTAAGCATGCTATTTAAGTCATGACAGTTTTACAGAACTTTTCTTTTAAATCTGCTTAAAGCTTTCAGGTTTACTGCACAGATAGGCAAAAGCAAAGACTTAGAACCTGGGCTTTCCTAAATTTCACCAAATAGTCGGTGAGGAGTCCATGGGTAATCCAGACTTGTATTCTTCTAAGAGCCAAAGCATGCAAATGTAATACGCGCACTGGCACTGTGAGATAGGAACCAAGTGTGTGTGAGAGATCAGAAAGAGGGCTGGCAAAGAGCAAATAGCTCCTTTTTACTCTGGGCTACTATTTTAATTCAAACAAATCCAAAGCAGTAGACGAACAACACGATTATTCAAATGTTATTTTGGATAAATGAGGCTTATGATTGCTGAGAGTCTTTTCTTGAGACTGGCGCTTTGAAGGGCTGGAATTAATGTGCTTTGGATTTGTGAAATCCATTTTAGAAGTATGTGCAGCACTGATTACGCAAATGAAAAAAAAAAAAAAACAACCTGTAAATTCATTTAAATTACAGTGGAGAAGACATGCATGGGTCTCTAATTAGAACTTGGTTCTGAAGAATCCTGTTCTGGTTTAGCATGTAGTCAGTAAATGGGATTTCAGAACACAGCGGGTATTAACTTATGTTCCATTACAGCTGGTGGGAATGTTTTCATTGATACGTTTCATGACTTCTGTAGAATCATAGTGGAAACCAGTGTTGGACACCATGCCTACCCTAGAGCTCCCATCCACTTGGGAAAGAGAATTCAGGCAAAGCTTTTTTTCTGACAACAAACCTGTTAACATGAGCAGCTTGCAGGGAATGTCACAAAATATGAGGCTCACGTTGGGAATGGAGGGGAGAGAAGAAAAGCTAGCAGTATGTGTCTGTCTGTATGTAGAAATTATGAAAAAAGAATCTTAGTTGATTAAGAAATGCTTGAAAAAATCATAGGGAATCAACTTATCAAAAAACTTCAAGCCTGCATCATATTAATAATAGCTTTTCTTTCTCCTTCAACTATGGCACAATCCAAAAACTTTCGTGGGAAATGGGAATCATTTCACTCACACCATTTTGAATGCGGCTGAGACAAAGACTACCGTTTTTGTGTGCAGACATATGTCTTAACTCTTTGTGGTCTGCATGCTAATCCACTTTGTCTTCTATTTCTCTAGCACTTGAATGTATGTTGCTGTAAATGTAATGATGCTTGTTACAAAATATTTAATAGGAAACAGAAGTACTGCATTATTCTTTCATTGTGTCCAAAAACAACAAATACTGAACAAGTAGGGAGCTTGTTAAAGTGTCCTGTACATGAGCATTAAGCTGTGAAGAGGCAGATGGATGAACTTCTGACACAGATTTAAAATAAATGAACACTTATGGCCATATAAAAATACTTAGCTTCCTAATAATCAACATTTTATTTTCCAAATTTTTGAAGCCTTTGTAAAGAATTTAAATCAAAAATTGTGTTTAACTGACTTCCTCTATGCACTGTGAGACAGTACCGCATATTAAAGCCTACCAAAGTAACTGGCAGGACTTGGAAGATGTGGTACTGTAAGACTCCTAAGTTCAGAGTTAGTGGAGTGTGTTGATAGGAGTTGCCATTGTTTAGATCTACATGTTCTTTTCTTGCTGATGCATTCTATCTTATCCAGTTTATTTAGGACAGTTTTTACTTTGTCTCTAAAATGGCTTACACAAGTGACCATCAAATAACTAACCCCTCACTGCATGTGCATTTCATATCTTGTGAACTGTGATAAGACAGAAGAATGGGAATATGAGGGAAAGGAGCTTTGATAGGAAAAAATCCTATTAATGCTAATAAGCCATATGCAAATGGTAGTTCTTCCTTCACCCTCCTAATTCTCAAGACGAGAAGAACCAGCTCCATTGCACAGAGCTGTTACAGGTCCCTCTGCTCACCTGAAAACAGCTGGTTCTACTCTATCTGTGCAACCACCTAATGTCAACTAGCATCTCCAGCACACCTCTCATAGTGTGAGGTCTGAGTGCCAAAAGCATCAACCAAATTATTGGAGATTCTGATGCTATGTTCTGAATGCAAGATAGCTGACAATTGCTTTCTTTGAAGCAAATATTGCCAGATTCCTTACACGCTCTGAAATAGGCTTAAAATACTTTGTGTTCAAGAAGTTTCTAGTTGTAAAAGAATTCTCATGCTGAAATTGCATATTTGTGCATTATTTGGACTAGCATATGGTTTCGGGCACAGACTTTTCTGTCACAATCTTCTGTTTCAATTGTAGATCAGAATTCTAATTACAATCTTAGATATAGGGTTTTGATGGTTTTCAGGGGTTAGTAATAGGATATGGATCTTTACCCCTACAGCACATTGGTTCATTGAGGATGCTTTTCTGTAGCAAATAAACATGGTGTTTGGTAATCTCAGTTGTGTTTGTGTTGCACAAGTGACCCTGTTGGGAAAAAATAGCTGAAGCTTACACTTTCTTTGACAGTCCCTTATGGAGACTGAGGTTTGAATTCATGAGGGGACCTGAGTTCCCTGATATTTCGTGGAGAAATAAAGAGACCAGAACTTAGTATAGTATAAAGACAATGCTAGAGCTAGCCTTGAGGTCTGATGTTGTTTCCTGCGCTACTGATTTGATGTTTTCCAACAGAATAAAATGCATTTTAAAGAGTGTTTTGGTAGGAAATACATATGAATAGCAGATATCTTTTAAGTCGTAGATTATTGGCATCTAACATAGCAGAAAGTTTGTTTCTTTTTGAACCATAAGCTAAGAGCTTAGATAATAACATGAGTTTAAGACCCAGAAAGATGTGCTTTGAACTGATTTTACTGCTGCAGCTGTGTTTTAATCTAGAATTGTGCACTTTTTCAGGTGATGGAGTTTTACTGCCGGTCTTGTGAGACAGCCATGTGCAGGGAGTGTACAGAGGGAGAACATGCAGAGCATCCCACAGTACCACTCAAGGATGTGGTAGAGCAACACAAGGCTTCTCTTCAAGTTCAGTTGGATTCTGTCAACAAACGGTATGGAGTCTCCCCTGACTGTTTTTCTGCTTTCATTTTTGCTACCAGCTTCCTCTCTTACTCTCAGTAGATGTTTTAATGTGCTTGTGCCATGGACCTTTTCTTAAAGAATAGAGGTAGTGAGGATTGTGCAAAGAAAGAAAAAATATTGAGTATACCATACCATTGAGTATGATGCATTGAGGGATTAGAGGAAAGATCTAAAGATTCCTATCAGTCTTTTGCAAAACAGAAGCCATTAGAAATTCAAGTGTTCTCCAAAGAGAGAGAATAAAATGTTATGGAGAAAAGAACTAGCTCATCATTATTTTTATAATAAAGAAGTTCTACTGTATGCTTAGAATACAGCACAGACTTTACTCTGTAAGAAGATATTTTAAAAAAAGTTGTAGGTCTGATTCCTCATTATTAGCAAATACATCTGCATAAAGAAGAGAAAATCCAAGGCCTCCCTGCTGAAACTTCCTGAAGCCCAAAGGATTTCCTCATGTGAGGGCCCTAGCTTAGCCTTATTTTATCAGACTAAAATTATAACTGTGTGGTTATAAAAGGAATGAACTTGCTTCTGTGAAGTGGGGGAGTGTAAAGACAGACTGGTGATAAGTTCATTTCATCAAAAATTTCAGGACAAGGGCCATTGTTTGATGACTTTTGAAACAGCAGTCTTTGTAATTTAATCCCTCCCTCAGGCTTCCAGAGATTGACTCAGCACTTCATTTTATATCTGAAATCATACACCAGTTAACCAACCAAAAGGCTAGCATCGTAGATGACATTCATTCCACTTTTGATGAACTCCAGAAGACCTTAAATGTACGAAAGAGTGTGCTGCTTATGGAACTGGAAGTGAATTATGGCCTTAAACACAAAGTAAGATGCATGTTTTGTTTTAATGAATAACTATTAATTTAATCAGCCAGTTTTTACAAATGATTCAGGATGCCAGTTTGACAAGCTGTGTCTGGGATCTTGAGAATGTTGTCTTCCTGAAATCAAGTGTTGCACAACCTTGCTTGTAGGTGCCCAGCCTCCAAAATGGAATCTAGACTTTATAGGCAGCTAACCCTGTGTGTATGACATGTGAGGATCTAAAATAGCCAGCACGCTAAGCAGGAGTCTGCTTAAAGCCCACATGTTTTATGTGCAGATGCCAATAAGGGAACACCAAAGTCAAGTCTGGATCATTGGGTTACAGCTCCATGACAGTCCTGTGTATCTTCTCCCATGAGTAATTTTTCCCTGAAGGAACCAGGCAAGGTTCCTTTCAAATACTTGGTAAGGTATTTCACCCTAGAATTCAGGGATTGAAATGCATGGAGTGCAGAGGCATCTCATTTTCTAAGTGGAATGCAGAGAGCAACAGATTTCAGAGTTGTGTTCTTTAACTTTCTATGTGGATGACTGAATCTTGCATTTTTCTCCTGTATTGTGGACTAAGTTTCAGAGGAAAAAAAAAAAAAGAAATTTGCCCCTTTTTCAGAGAGAAGCCTGTACCATGATGAGAGCTTTTACTGAGGAATAAGTCTGAAATACTCAAATTGAAGACTTTGTCTTCCTGGGCGTCAGTTGACTGTTTTATGTAAAAGGAAGATATCTCTCCTCAGAATAAGAAAGTAGCATGAGCAACTGGAGTTTCAAGAGTGCCTGATAGTAATGACATCTTTGGACATTCTCCGTGATTACTAGCAGCTTCAACATCACCAGATGTTTGAAGCTGAAGAGAGATGTATTTCAGGATCTGGAACAAGCTAGGTTGTTAGGATGGGCTGGGCTGGTGAAAATTGCAGAATTCTAATACATAGACAAGTGGCGTGCTTTCAGGGATGCAGGGAGTCCAGAATCCTAGGGGCACAGAATTTACTCATCACTAAAGATAAGGAGCTGCTGAGGAGGTTTTTAGCATAAAAAATTTGGACTTGTATCTTAAGTTCATCCAAACAAATCTAAGATGTCCCAAAACCTTATTTTCTCAGCAAGAAAATATAGTCAACTGTGTGTACAAAATTTACACAGGGTGGTATACAATGTTAAATTATCATATGGTTGTTTAAGGGCACATTTGACTTTTTAATGTAGAGAACCAAAGTTTTATGAAGTTGTACATAAGCAGTAAAAGAGGTTAGTACAGAAGGAGTTAGTACAGAAGGAGTGATTAGAATAAATTTTTGTTTTTGAGTGAGTAGAGAGCCTGCAAAATGTTACAAACCCAAATATTTCCCACTCAGCTTTGGTTTCAAATGAACTGAGAGAGGCCTCATGTAAAATGCAGTAAACACATCTTAAATATTAGTTATGGTAGGACAGAAAAGAAAGCAATACTAAGAGTATAGTTGTTGTAAAATGTAGCCGCAAATCATCTTCCTTCATGCTCTGTGGTTTATCCTGAGTGTATACACTTTTATCATCCTGGGACTTTAGTAGTCACGCTATCTGTTCAACTAGTTATTTATGTTCTGAAGTAAAGACAAGGCAGACTGGAAATGCCTTGAAATGAGTCCTGAGACGTTTTCAGGTGTCTAGAGAAACAGATAACTTGAAACTTAGTGAAGTGTTTAAATCAGCCTACTTTCTTTTGCTTGCAGTAGATTTCACACTGTTATCACTTTTCCATATGAATAATTCGTCAGACTTTTTTCTCCAGTAAGTAGAGAAAAACAGATAGTTTTATGCAAATCAGAAGTAAAATGCCCTTAAGAACACAGCATCGTAGCACAGTGTTCATCAGCAAGGGAAGAGTGTCTCACAGTAATACAGCCAACAGTTTCCAAGTTTAATTAGAACAACTGAATTATTTCAAAAATGCTTACTTTACAGTAGCAGTCAACAAAACAACTTCTGTGATTAGCAGTAATGTTTGTGCCCTCGTTCTTCTCAGTAGGAAAAACATACCATATGTATGACTGAGTACTTTTTGGGGACTTTCTCTTTAAAATGTGGGAGCAAATGGAATGTTTGAGCTTTCCAAACTCCCATGAGCTTCTCTGTTAGGCTGCTATAATTCAAGGATCATTTTTCTAATTCACTGTGAAAACAGTTTCAAGAAATTTTAATCTTGTTCCCAGCCCATGCCTCACAGTTTTGATGTCAGTACTGCTCTAAGGATTTTAGACTGAGGGCCAGAACTGAGCCTATAATGGAAGCTCTCTTTCAGTCTTGAATATAGAGTAGCTACTTGCTGCCCATCAAAATTGCAGGATACTCAATCCAACTCTTTCCAGTATCCCCAACACAATACCTTCATATTCTTCCCCAAAAAGGAGTAACCCAAAGTTTCCCCTGGCCCTGAAGAGATAATTTTATGAAACTCTTCTTATAGCCTCCCTTATTGATGGGCCTGATGACTGAAAATCTCTCTGCAGGTACACACATTACAGCTTGCTTTTCAGTAACTATCTCATTGACTGTGAGGGCTAGATGGGAGGATGCTTAAAATTGTGTTTATTTACAAATTAAAAAAAAGAAAATGAAGAAAGTGAGGAAATAATTCAACCTACTGAGGCAGTGGATGTGTAAAGCTGTGGTGATCCAAATGGGGTACATTTTTTTCTGTTGCAGTGTGATATTCCAATAATTTGTAGAGAGTCAATATGGTATGTTTTCTACAATGAGACTTAAAAAAATTCCACAAAACTTTGAAGTACTATAAATGGTATTTCTGTAAAGGCCTTCAGGGGTGAAGCATGCTAATGTTGCTAGCATAAATCCTGCCATGTGATGCTGATGTGGTGTTTGGCAATGCATGCAGGTTCTCCAAACCCAGCTGGATACCTTGCTTGAAGGACAAGAGAGCATTAAAAGTTGCAGCAACTTTACAGCCCAGGCCCTCAACCATGGCACCGAAACTGAAGTGCTGTTGGTGAAGAAGCAGATGAGTGACAAGCTGAATGAACTGGCTGAGCGGGATTTCCCCTTGCAGCCCCGTGAAAACGATCAGTTGGACTTCATAGTGGAAACGGAAGGCCTGAAAAAGTCCATTCACAATTTGGGCACTATTTTAACCACCAATGCTGTTGCCTCTGAAACAGTTGCCACAGGTGAGGGACTGCGGCAGACTGTGATCGGACAGCCCATGTCCGTCACCATCACCACCAAGGACAAAGATGGGGAGCTCTGTAAGTCCGGGAACGCTTACCTCACTGCTGAGCTGAGCACGCCTGATGGAAGTGTAGCAGATGGAGAAATACTTGACAATAAAAATGGCACTTATGAATTTTTGTATACTGTTCAGAAAGAAGGGGATTTCACATTGTCACTGAGACTTTACGATCAACACATCAAGGGCAGCCCATTTAAACTGAAAGTGGTCAGATCGGCAGACGTATCCCCTACCACTGAGGGGGTTAAGAGACGTGTTAAATCTCCTGGCAGTGGTCATGTGAAGCAGAAAGCTGTGAAAAGACCTGCAAGCATGTACAGCACTGGAAAAAGAAAAGAGAATCCCATTGAAGATGATTTGATCTTCAGAGTAGGTAGGTGACTTCTCTGCTAACTACTGCCATAAGCTAAAGCAATTCAGGGAAATTGGATGAAAATTTACCAGTGTAAAATTATTTTAAGATTAAGGTTCTAAGTAGAGCAACCTGATAATACTTCTAGGCCTCTTAATTATTACACATATACATTTTAAAAGCACGTGTTTCAGAAATTCCACTGGCAAATATTTAGTTAGAATTGGGGTTGAGAAATGCATACATCTGATTATCATAAAAGATTTTACATGGCAGAATAACAAGATGAATGGTGCAGATTTATATTGAACTACTTCTTTTAAAAATTGTATGGCAAGAGACAAAGTAGGAGGATTCTGTCTCTAAAATGACTGCCCTAGACGTTAATCTAATTAATTAACCAGGATCTACATGTTAAAACCTATGATCAAACATAGTTATTCCTTGATGTCAGCATAGGACAAAACTATGATTTCCTTTATTTGTTGTTTGTTTCTTTAAAAGTGTCTTGTATTTTTTCCCACTATCTAAACATGTTTCCTCCTTCCTATAATGTGGTAGTATCTCGAAGTTTGTGGGTTTCTAATGGTTTGTAAAATATAGATGCTATTTATTCTGATTTTCTTTCAGCTCTTTTGGGGTAATCTATTTTTAAGCTACCATAATTTATATGTTATACAGATAGTTAACTTATATAGTTAAAAACAGCAACAACAACTTTTCACTTTGCACAACTAAAGAAGAAAACGAAGTTGACTTCCGGTATTACACAAGTCTGTATATCACATTTGAGCACTTATCAAAAAAGTAGCTTCAGCTTGAGCAGAGCCTCCTCAACAATAACGGCACTTGGTTGTCCAAAGCTGGCAGGTGCCTTTTCTTAAATTAATACCCAACATTGCTTTGCCTCTAGCAGGAGGGTGTTATGATCACAAAACCTATTGATGAGTTGTTAAGGAAAAAAACCTTGCACAGAGGCAGAGTAATCAGGTCTGGACTCCTGCAGGAATAGAAAGAGACCTGTGGCTTTTCCCAAATATGATTTCACTGATAATGCTGGTTAAGAGCTACAGAGAGTATGTATAGAAGTTTCTGAGATTTTTCTGGGCACCTTGTTTTGAGACAAGGTAAAACGAGTTTAGGATGATGCCTGAACCCTGCCTGAAAGAAAACATTTCTTTGATCTCTTCTGGAAGTGGTTGTGCCACATCATACAGAAGAGCATATGCTAGGTTGGATGAGCAGATTTAAAGTCCTGAAATAATTTTAAAACTTTTAGCATTCTTATTATAAAGCTTTCAGTATGGCCTAACATGATTTCAGGTTGTGATTTCTACTTCTGTATCCCTTGTTTCTACTATCAGCTTCTAACCTAACTGCCAAATAGTGCTATGGCTCCAGTTGGTTGCTGTTGTTTTAATGATTCTCTCTACTACACAGTGAACTCTAATACAGTTGTGAATATTTTCTGAAAAGTGTGGTGCTTTTTCATTGTGATGCAGTCATGACTGTGTGCTTTACTTTGGAGCTTTTTCTCCTTCCTTTTCCCTGTCTTTCTGTGTCCTCTCATTCAAAGAAAAAAAGAGCTACAGCTGCACATATCTCACAGCTTTTCCTTGAGGAGAGCCCTCAGGATTTTCCACATTTGAGATGTTATTGAAAAACTGAACTGAGAATAACGCTTAATCTCACTCTGCATTTTGTTCTTGGCTTCTCCTTTCACAAAATGATCCTAGATAGAGATGTTCCTGTGGGATTATATATGCATCATCTGAGCAGTCTCTAAGGAGTTGTAGCTGTAATGCTCTAGCTTTTTCACACTCTTCCAAAATCTGTGTGCTTAATAAACTAGAACTTCTGACATTTGTGCAGGGATTGTCTTCAGGAATTTAAGATTTTGTTTGGCTCCAGTTTCTAATTACTCAGGACACTTGAGGTTTGGTTCATTTGTTGATGAAGTTATGCAAAATGAAGTTTATAGTTCTTTTCCAGCACAACTGTGTATCTGTTTGGATCCCATTGTTGAATTCCTCTGATAGCCCTGGCCAAATGTGGATTTTTGTTTAAAACTACGGAAGATAAAACTTGTACTTGGGTTCCAGAGGTACATATGGCTGTGCTGGAGAATCATACTGTAACATTCCTATGGCATCTGAGTGTATGGAGCGTGCTATTGTACGTACGTTGAAGTATGGGCTTTTATGCAGACCTTAATCAATCAGCTCCTAGCAGAAGATCATTCTTGTGTGAATATCAACTTTGACACAGCGTTAGTGCAGATAAATGTTTTCATTCATGGGGAACTAGGCACTGTATCATTTGCCAATTCCATAATATTCATTGCTTTTAAAATGACGTATGGTTCTGTTCAGACTTTTTAAACCTCAGGGTATTGACTGCACATTCGTACAGTTGTGTAATGCATTAATTAAAAGGACAGAGCATTTCTTGCTTCCTCTTCTTTCAGTTATTTACATCCTCAACAAAAACCAGGCATGATCTTTAAGAGTGTGTCCATGCAGTTCTCATGTTCTGAATGTTTCAGCCTGCTGAACTTAGTACATTAATGGTAGAATGGCTTGCATTGGAAGGGACTTTCAAGATTGTCTAGATCTAACTCGCAAGCAAAAAAAATCTATCTTTGTGGCATGTAGTAAGTTTGTGCAAAGAAAAACTGTTTGTGATTTCTAGAAAATAATTGTTGCATATGGTGTTTGCTTCTACTGCAAGGGGTAGAAAGCATTGAAGTGAGAGGAAAAGCTCTTCTGTTGCTCTGCTCATGTGCCTTAGACCTATGCTGAGTAGAAGTGAGGGATGTTTGGTAATAGCACTTCCACCCTCCTTGGTAAATCTTGGCCATGTTCTCCAAAGGAGAATTAAGAGCCATGCATGGGTGGCTACTCTTGTCCAGAGCCCCATCTGGTGCTCTAGCTCTGCCATGCTTTGGTACTTTTTTTCTGTCACTTTTCACGACTGGGTTCTTTGACAGTAGTGGTGCCATTTCCCACTTCAACTGCATTTTCTCTTTCTTTATTTATGCCTGGAATTGGCATCAGGCTCAGCCAGATGGAGAATTGGCTCTCTGATGGAAAGTTCCATTTTTCTTTTCCTTAGAGTGTGTTTAGTTGTCTGTTCAGCATGTAACTGAGCATCTAAATTAGCTAAATTAGAGTAACTCACTCTAATTTTAAGGGGGAAAAAAGCACCTTTAGCAGTACGTTCTGTCAGCTTCCTTACTAGGTATGAATGTCATCATCTTGGCTGTTATCAATGCTGAAAGTGAAGAAGAGGCTGTCAATTTACTCTGTGAGAACTCATGAACAAAGCCTGTGTAATAATAGCTGTCATGTATTTATGGCTGATAAAGTCTGCAAATTCAAAGCAGAGTTAGGTGGAGCAGAGGTGCTAGACTTAAATTTGACAAATAATAAATGGTGAGCTGTGTGTAGGTTTTAGGGAAATGTTTAAACTTTCCAGGGCTCATACTTATTATTAAATTTTCTCTAAAGACCTCTTGCTGACACTCTGTAGTGATTTTTCCTGTCTGAAAGAGATGGGGCTGTCCATGAATATGTACTTTTTAAGCAACTACAAAAACATAAATAGGTTCTGTGCGTAACCATCTTGAAAAAAGAGTGAAATTTTCTAACTGCAGTTAGCTCCCTTGTATGCATGGTCCAGAGGAATTCTAGCTACTCAGCAGGAAACAGCTTCTTCTCTTTCCATACCCTTAACTCCTTCCTTACTTTTCCCTACCCAAGCCATGTTACAGCCTGGCTAAGGGCATTGGAGAAAGAATGGACATATAAGTGTATCTGGTTGGCATTCTGAGAAAAAGCAAAGCCAGGAAACAGGAGGACAACTCTGTCCTACCTGTCTGTGCAGCCTATATGTTGATCTTTCCATACTGTTCAGTTTTATCTTTTTTTTTTTTTCAATGTTATACAGAGAACAGACCCAGAAGAGTTATTTGATGGTGTAGGTAGGAAAGAAATGGTAGCTATACAATATGCTATGGGTACTGCATCCTCTCAACTCTCCCATTAACCTCTAATCTTTCTGAAGGATTTTTGTGTCATTGAAGACAATCCCTTTCTAATTGAGAGGGGTGGTATGCTGCTTTTGTTTTAGGAAGCTGGTAAGTTTAGTTTAGCAAGCAGGGAGATGATTAGCCATATCAGCGAAATTTAGAAAGCAAAACCACTTCTGTTACTATGAATATAAGGAATGTACATTGTTCAACAGGTTCATCCAGATGGCCAGCACTTACAAAGCAAAACTTAGTTGCATGATATAATTTTTAAAGTTTCCTGTAATTTTAATAGGTCTTTTGATTATTTTTTTTTTTCCCTTCTTGATGAGATTCAACCTGGCCTGTACTATGCAAGAAGACTGAAATTGTGAAGTGTTCTGGTTGTGCTGCATAGTCTTGAGCTGAAAATGGCTGCCCTTTTGTTGAAATTGTATCTTCAAAGCTAAATTAATTGGTTTGTGCAGGGTAAGCTGAATAATACCCAAAGGAATTAGATAGGGATAAATCTAATCTGATTGTTTATTTAGAGAGCTGTTTACAAAAACAGTATAAAAGGAACTGTTCCACAGCTTCCTAACTGCTCTGCTTGGCCTTACCTTTTGAAAACCCTCTTCTCCCAGTCCCATACAACTTGCTGCAGAAGTTGGAGTAAATTGTCTTTTGTTCTGTTGTGTCCAAACAGTAGCTCAGAACAAGAGAGAGACGGGTCTGGATGAAGACAGAGACAAAAGATTCAGGCTTTCATATCCATGCCAGGTTTCCTGGGGAGCCCTGCAATACCCCAGACCCTGATTTGGTCCCTAGATTGTCCTCTCTCCCCAGCCCTGTGCATATGAAATGTCTCACCAGGCTAAGGAGGGATGGGTGACTGTCCAGAGAATAGAGAACAAAGCATTGGTTGCCTTGATAGAGAAGGGAGGTATCTTGCAGTAAAAGATGCTGATGTATCTCTCAGGCAGGTATGTTTATAAGGAGGGAATCTTGGTTTAAAAGGGAGGAGCTGTCATCCTTTGTTGTAACAGACATGGTTGCAGGATCCTGCTTTTCCAGAGTGCTACATACATTACCATAAGATTTCCTCTCACATGAGATACTGGTGTAGTGAGTTATTCAAATTAGAAACTTCAGAGTTTCCTGTTCTCTTCCTGAACTTAACTTAGGACATCAGGTGTGTTTCACTGACCTCATCTTTCTCCAGAGAAATTTGTCCCCTTGTGGAAGGGACTGTACAGAGGTGTGCAGAACCTGTCATGGTCATGGGTTCAATAACTGCAGAATGCTGTTTACAAGAGTATTGTGCGTGGAGCTGATTTTCATCTGCACACTGTTAATGAAGTACTGTTTCAAAACTTACTATGAAATGTGACTATGGCATTCCTGGGTGATTTCTTCTTTTTTTTTTTTTTTTCTTTTTGTTTGGTGTTTATCTGTGAAGTCCCAGTGAAGAAAACTCTGGCCAACTCTGTATAGATCTCTCTTACCGTTAAAAATGAATATTTTTCTGAGGAGGAAGAGCATACATTCCAAAATGGCTGTGGTAGTTGGTTCCAGATGCTCTAGCTTGTGCTTCCTCTTTTCTAACAAGTGTTTTTCCTTTTCTCTCAGTAGTATAAGGAATGCTTCTCACTTTTCATCCCTTTTCTTTGGCTAAATGGCAAAAAGGAAACTCACCATTAGCAAATTGTGGAAAGAAAAATAACTGCATGCATCCTTCAGGCACTGCTCAGTAAAACAGTACACAGAAATGGCTCAAGTGTGGGCAACATAATTGGTGTGTAACTCACTACTTGCTTAACATGTAGTTTCTCCTTGTGCTACAAAACTGAAAATTGCTGAAACTGAAAACTGAAAATTGCTGAAAAGGGAAGCGTGCTGAGTTCAGGAAAGTAAGTCTTGAAACAAAGAAAACTCAGCACCAAGTGCCAAGGAGTTAAATGTTGTTTCTAGGTAGCGACAGAAAATATGCACCCCACACTCAGAAAGAAGGATTTTTCAGAGCATGTGCATCCCTGATGAAAGTTAAGTGCAAATTAGAGCTAACGAATGTTGTATATTGGGAAGCACAGTCAGAGCAGTTTTAATAATTGGACTCCAGAATATTTAGACTGACTAAAATAAAGTACAAGCTTTTCAGTTGAAACCATATATTGAAACCAATTAATGCCTGATACACAGATGGTGAATTATTGTGAAAACACTTAACTATGGTAAAATAGCTCTGCGTGCAAGCCTCAGAATGAACTGCTTGTGGAATCTTTTTTTTTTTTTAAAAAAAAAAATCATTCATTATGAGTAATTTTGTGGTTGAAGATTGTAACTGCAAGCTTGTCTAAAGACCCCTGAGCCTTCTTTATGAACACAGCAGGAGTTTGAATACTGTTAATGTGCTCTATGTGCAGTTTGGATCAGAACTTCAGTGCTGACCTTTTAAACACATCAGTTTGATTTGTGACTGTCCTCAGACTGTCCCAGAACAAACAGCTAAGTAATAAGGCATTTAAACTTAATGAACTTTTGTGAGCACTTGTTATTTTGTAGGTCCTTATCCCATTAGTCCCCTTGATTCTATATAAATCTCTGTTTCATTTGTTCTGGATAAAAATGAGACCTGTGTGTATGTATTGCTTTGTCAGAACAGTCTAAAGTCTCTGCGGAAAGATTCAGTCACCAGATTTTGGTCTTCATTGGCATCAAGTCCTAGTCATTCAAAAACAGTTTTTCATCATGGTTTTCTAAGAAAACTTTTGCAGACTAAATCAAAACTGAATAGCAAAACTGAATGGCAAACCTGTCTTGAAAAGGCCTCATTCAAAGCAATCACTAATACATTTTTTTTCCTCAATTTCTTGACTTCACAGAAGAGATTTAGGAATTGGGCTGAACACTTGTCAACCATCCAGGTTCTCGGCTTTGTCTCTGTCTGTATGCTCCCTGCACTGTACTGTACTGCATCATCACCTTCTCACCTGAACAAAAATCCGTATTTAAAAAAAAAAATCCAGAGCTTGTGAATAAAACATTTTCCTTCTCTAGCAAGAAGCAAATTGTGAAGGTGCCTTGTTTTGTGAAGGCCACGGTTATTCCTCTGGGGGTTAAATGGCATACATGCTAAAGAGTAAGAACAATCTCTTGTACTTAGAATTGGGATCTGTTACTGCCATGGTTCTGTATCGGTGATAAGAACTCTTGAAAATAGGCATCCATAGATCAAGGATGTAATAAATAACTGTACTGGCTTTTAGTTTCTAACTTATTTATATGCTACCTAGCCTGATTTATGTGCTTTATGTTCAATTTTAGGCACCAAAGGAAGAAACAAAGGGGAGTTTACAAATCTTCAGGGTGTAGCTGCATCTACAAATGGAAAAATATTAATAGCAGACAGCAACAACCAGTGTGTACAGGTATGCCACTGTCAAGTATTTGTCTGGTTTTTTTTTTTCCCCATACCTTTGCCTTATTTGTTTTCAGATTTTGTGTAACACAACGCCAGAATGCCCAAGCTGCTTATTGTCTATTATCATTCCATCCTCTTGACTTGTAGCTATCTTCTTCAGCTCTACACTGTATCAAACATGCATGTCAGAGTTTATTTTCATTCCTTTTTATGCTTGGCAGTGAATGAAGAAAGTAGACAGTGCAATAAATAACCTGGAAAAATGTCTTTTTGTAAATATTGCTTCACACTATAAATTCATCAGTTAGTGTTTCAAAATATAGGACAAGATGCCACAAATATAACTTCTTAAGTGAATACAAGTAAAAAAAACACACATAGATACTATCTTCAAATGACTTTTAGCCTGTGTAATGGACTTTTCTGTGTGATAGCATGATAAAATCATTTCTGTGTTAGATCTCAAACACCCAGGATTTCTTGGCTTCTTTAACCTGTGTGAAAATCTGGCTGTGTTTTCTCCTGCCAGTCATACATGTATTCATGTTGACTGTTTTTTGTCTTTTTTTTTTTTTTTTTTTTTAACCATTAACAATTTGTTGTCACTTCTTAGGCTGCTATGTGGTAGCAGTGAACAAAGCAGTAGTGTGTGACTTGTTCTTGAGTATGTCAGAACCAGAAAGCCACCTGCAGTAAGAACTTATTACCAAGCATTTTCAAAGAGAGTTTAATATTCATCAGTGCCCTCAAAGGTTGTAATTTGTGGCCCTTTCGGAAGAAGTTCAGTGTCTAATTAATTGTCTAAGGAATGCAAGTAGTGGACTAATTTTTGAGTAGCTGAGGCATCTGTCAGGAAGTGGCCTGGTTTCCTAAGTCAAATGATTACATTTTAAAATACTCTTTTAGCTTCTTATCTTTTTATCTTCAAAAAACTTCATTTCTGACTGTGGTCAAGACAGTGCTTAAGTTTCCTCATTTCTAACACAGGAATAACACCACTTCCTTTCAACTGTATTAGAGGGATATCATGAACCATAGTTCACTAATGTTTGTAAATTACTTTGAGATCATTCAAGAAACAGTGCAGTGTAAGTGCTGAGAACTTCCTTTTTATAAAATCAGGGTCCAGGTGGAGGCCTCTTCTTAAGCTGGGCATATTGCTTTGAAATATGACTGTAAAAGCACTGCACGTTCCTGACTGTCTTCCTGATTACAGTGCTCATTAGTGAATTCTAAACTGTGAGCTCCAAAACATAGATGATGCAGACCTAGTTTTAAAACTAATGTTTTCTGTTACAGATATTTTCCAATGATGGCCACTTCAAAAGTCGCTTTGGCATAAGAGGAAGGTCTCCTGGCCAGTTGCAGCGTCCAACAGGAGTAGCTGTGCATCCTGGTGGTGACATCATTATTGCAGATTATGACAACAAATGGGTTAGCATATTCTCATCAGATGGAAAATTTAAGGTATGACTTACCATGAGAACTCCCCTGAGATTTCTGTCTTGCAAAGGAATTCAAAGTACCGTTGTAGGGATTTTTTGTGTGTGTCAGGAAACGGCGCTGTTTGTTACTTAGTACAAACTCCATTGTTGTGATGTGTAAATGCATGGCACGTCCATGTTGTATAATAATTAGGGAGAGACCTCAACTGTGCTGCCAATGTAATATCAAGTAGAGAGCATTGTTCCATTCTGCAGTCCTGAGCACTAGGTATTTGTCTGCCCTTCTGCAGCTTACAGCTGAGAATAGCTAATGTAATCAAGTGTAGGTGGACTAGACAAACTCATCATTAGTAGCTTGATTATATATAAAGCTGTGTGTGTATATGTAGGTACACACAAGACAAACACAAAAACTTTTGAGAAGTCTTCAGTGACATAGGGAAGGGAAATGTAAGGCAACTGACTGTTGACTGTGTCCTCTATTTTCTCCATGCATATCAACAATTCAAGTGCATAATTTATATATGGTCCTGTTAGTGAATGCAAGGAAGGGGCAATCCAAGAGATCAGTCTGGTCCTATAGCACAGTCAGGAGTATCTTATGTAGGGTGATGTGCAGTAGAAAAGCTGAAGGGCAGGAAAAGAATTACTTATTTTCAAAAAACAAGTTCTGAGTAGCGTGTGCTTATTTTCATATGAGCCTGGATGCTTTTTCTGGCAATAAAATAAAACAACAGCTACTGTTCTACGCTAATGCTTGTAAACCTGCAGTATTTATCATGTCTGGGAGTTGGGTACAATTCCAGAATTAAAGCTTACCTCCATTTGGTGCTGTTGTCTGAATGCATATAACCAAGTTGAGCGATGCATGCTGGGCATAGCTCTCTCTAGCAGAGATTAGCATCACTCTGGCAAGTTTAAAAAAAAAAAAACCTCCAGAGATATTTCTACCATAGTTCTACCATAGTTCTAGAGATCTGTTTTGGAGAGAAACCACTCGTTTAGCATTTTCTGGCAGCCTAATGACAATGGGCTCGGATCCTGATCTACTCATGTGGCTGTGAACAGATGCCCTTCCTTTATTAGTTTTCACAAAGTGACAAATGCTGTACCAAATAGCAGGTTTTGCTTGCAGAATCCCCCATTTGAGAAAGACACTTGTACACTTCTAACTACACAGACTCAAAGCTAAAATAACACAATACTAGTATGCAATGCAGTTGTTAAAAAAAAAATTGCATTTGCAGGGATGACATGATCTTCCTTGTTGAGTAGTTTTGAAAGTGTACGGCTACTCAGGAACATCTGTGCTTTGGCTGAAGACACCAAAACAAAACGAAGATGTAGTTATTTAAGAATCCAAACTTTCTGAGTAGTCCAAGTGTGATATAAATAATTATTCACGTATTTAATGTGGACTGTCTTGATCTGCACATGGAGGAGGGAGGGCTCGTTTTCCTTCCTTCTCCAGGTAGGCTGTAAATCCTACATTGTGGATGATGTCAGCTCTGGGGGAAACAGCCATGGCTGTGGAGGAGCCACCTCTCTCTGTCCAACTGGGAGTCAAAGTATTGGGAAAAGAAAAGACAAAAAAAGAATTATGGTAGTTCCTCCATCTTTGAGCCTAGCTTTTGTTTTAGTTAATATATATTTTTTTTTTGTTAGACTGTACTAGCTACGTAAAGTCAGCAATGTTTGTGTGCATAGTGCATTGGACTTAGCATTTCTTGAGACTAGAACTGATTAATAAGAGATGAAACACTGATGATAGAAAATACTACTTTTAGATTTCATGCAACAGATAACATTTATCTGAAAAAAATATGAGAATATTTGTAGATGCATCTTTTACGTGGAGGGAAGATTGAAGCACAGGACATATATAACAAGTCTAGCCTATGGAAATCTGGGAAAAACAACATACAAGGTCTCTGTCTGATTAAACTAGGCGAGGTCTGCTAGAATGCACAGATATACAGGGATAAGCTTCACTTCAAAGGGTAGTGCCCACAAGACACTGTGTATCATTTGAGATATTGGTGGCCTGCTAGTTGTTCACTAAGCATTATCAGGGGTCTTTTTTGAACTTATTCTAACTATTTAGTTGTTGTCTCCTTCTTTCTTTATTTACCCTCCTTTAGCTTCACAGCTTTTTAATACTCATGTGAGCCAGAAAGCAAATTTCTCCTGGAGCCAAGCCGAGGCATTTTCCAAATAACAGAACTGGGCTGACTCATCCCAGCAGCCTCTGCCAGGCAGAAAAGTGTCACCTTCCTCAGCTGCTGTTAGCAACAGAGGCAGAGCTCTGCTTTCTCAAGGCTATGAAGCTGGCATAATGCAGAGTTTGGCAAACCCTAAGCTAAGATTGCACCAAAACATGAGTCTCTTAAAATGAAAGGCTGCAGTATTGCCTGCACAATGAAGCATCATACAGGGTCTTAGAACTGGAGGTTCTGTTTCTGGTTTATGCCATAGGTCTTACAGGTGCTGCTGCTATTTCATTTAATTTCCCAGTGCTGTATTTTCCTCATTTGTAAAAGCTGGATAACAGTGGTGGCTTCCTGTATGAATTACTTTCAAATCACCTAAGAAAACTGTTACAGAAAGCATTAATTGCTAGGCTAAAAAGAGTACTGAAGCAACAGGGTCAGCTGCTGTGCCAGTGAAGTTCAAACCTAATGAAGGAAACGGAGACAAGGAGCACAGAACAAATTGTGGTCCACTGAGGAGAGGATTATTTTCTTTCACATCTTAGGACTCTCTTAGACAATACCTAAGATTACCTGTTGTTAGCCAAACAGAGTTGTAAGTTGGGCTAAGACATCAAATTATGATGCCTGGGAAAAGATGGAAGGAAATATTTTATCTATCAGAGTTTCATTTTCTTGTCTTATGAAAGGGGTTAGGAAGGGAGCTGCTTGATGCTGGCTGCATGTTTAGATAGAAATAGTTCTGTGTGGAGCGTGATAAATGGTCACAATTCAATTAAGACAACCCTACATATGATAAATCCATTTATTGTGTGACATCACAATGTGTGATGATGGTTCTATCTCCACATTAGGAAGTTGCAAAATGGGGAAAGAAGGCATATTTCAAGTCTGTAAATTAGTTTCTGACAATTGTGAACTTTTCTGACAGCAGCAAGATGGGTGGAGTTGAAGCTAAAGCTCTAATACACCTGCATTACAGGGAAAGAAGTTGGTATAATTTGGATTATTTTTTTTTTGAACTCTTGGAATATCTTACAAGAGAATATTTTCCATTCTAGTACTATGGTTTTATAAACATGTATTTGAAAACCAATCTGAATTCATGAAAGTCTATAAAACATGGAACAAAACGTCCTTGACTGAATTCGATTATTTGTGTTAAAGATTCAGATGGTTCATCCTACTATATTTATTTCTAATGGCAGAAAAGTCTGAGAATACTTCCATTCACGTACTTTACAGCAGTGACTGGGTTTCATAATGCTCTGTTTTAAATAATCAAACCTGCAATTCTGAGAAACCTGAAATAAAAATTCACAAAGCATATGTTCAGCCAGACCCAGTGATGTGTCATCAGGTTATTTTCATCTAAACTGGAAACAGAGATTCTTAGTAAAAAGAAGACTTTCAGACTCCAGCTGGGCGTGATTTATTGCTTACTGCAAATTATATTGTGAATCCTGTCCCAAGAATAGTAATTTTTATTACTCTCCTCAGTGCTGAGTGTCCATTAATGCAGTATGCGATTTATTCGTTTTTTTTTTTTTCCCCTCATATATATTTATATGATCAGAAGGACACTGTACTCATAAGTCTGAGTTATTTTTCCTTAGGAATCCTGGAAGGCTTCCTAATAATCCTGGTGAGGAGGTGGTGCAGTGCACAAGCAGGCACTCAGGCATCCCTGAGGAAAGAAGGGAATATTTTATTTAATCACTGCAAAGGAAATAAATCTGCTGCTTTGCATTTGATTTATGTTGTTGCCGCTTTGTTGTAATGCAAACCTGAATGTAGATTTGCTCATATCTTTCCCTTGGTGACCACCGAATCATTTTTAATAGTGTTTTTTTTTTCCTGAGGTTATTTTAGTGTGATTTAATTAGGTGTTCATTGTCAAAATATTGAGCAATTTAAGAGAGCATATGTATCTGCACATAAAACAGACATGACTGTTGCACTTCAGCTATGTAGTCTTGAAGCTGCAAGATTTGCTCCCTGGAGTTTTCTTTGAAACTGAAAGACTGTGTAATAATGCTGTTGACTTCAGAGTAGACAGCCTCAGGTTATCTCCTTTTCTTTATTTTGAGGTGGCTCCTGCTTTTATCAACCCCACCCATGAGAATGTACTGTGGAATAGGAGCATGGGGTTTCCTGAGGATAGTTGAGCTTCTTTAGATACTCACGTAGTTGTCTGCTTTGAACACACTTGGAAACTGAACAAAATGAGTTGTGTTAATGGATTTTCACCATGCTGAGTAATCTGTCCTGCCTTGATAATCAGGGACTAACACAGCTTTAGCTACTCACATACACTACGTAAGGATGGAATGGCCCACTGGGTCCATGAGGACCAGCCCCAGCTCCAGCAGGGCCACCCATAACAGCTGCCCAGGCCTATGTCTGGGCAGCTTTGGGAGATCTCCATCCAAGGAGGAGGCTACACAGCCCATAGGCTCTCTGAGCAGCCTATGCCAGGGCTCCAGCATCTACACAGCACAGAAGTGCAGCCTGACGTGCAGAGGGAACATCATGTTCCAGTTGGTGCCCACTGCTTCTTGCCCTGACACTGAGGACTAATGAAAAGAGCCTGGCTCTCTCCTCTTTGAAAGAGAATACAGCAAGTGTGACCTCACCAGTGCTGAATAGAGGGGAAAATTCCTCACCACTTGCATCAGGTAAGGAAGGGAGGCAGAAAAGGCATCAATGTGTCTCACCCTGTAAAGGCAGTGCAGTGAAAAATTGTATTTTCATAATGAAGGTGAATACTTTAGCGTCTGTTTAACTATAATTCAGTTGGAAACAGAAAATTATGTCAGGCACCAAAGAGATAGATGCAAGTTTGTAGGATGTCTCTGAAAAATTACTGCAGGATCTGGAAGCTGTGGGATCCATCGTTTCAATACAGTGTGTTCAGTGGACTGCCTGTGCAGAACCATAAAAAAGCTTGCAGGAGACCTGACTTTTGGAGCCAACTGGGTAACTGTTTCCAAATTTGCCTGTCATTTAATCTGCCCCATTGTGTGTTTCTCTGGGAGGAGAGGTGCAGACTGTGGCTTCTTTTGGCTGTTCTTGTGCTCAGAAGAGGCACCTAATGTTCACTAGTTCTGCTGTAGCTTTTTAGTCAGATTGCCATCTGCAGATTGAGGAAAATCAGCCATTTACCATCTCCATCCTGCACATTTATATCACACCCAGCATGGTAATAACTGCGAGACTGCAAACAGAAATCAATCATGCCTGTTAGAAGCCCATTTTCCCTGAATAGTGAGGGAAAGGGAACAAGAAGTCTTTGTGTGTCAGCCTACCCTGTCAGTATGCTAGTACTGACTGCATAGCCATTTGTTTGGATTCAGTTGATGAGGTAGCAAATTTTTCACTCTATAAAGGACATACAGAAAACAGTCTTTCAGCTGAAGATGAAATGAAAAAGTACACAATATGAGCTGATAAAGCAATCACTTCCCCCTGGCAATCTTTTGATGACAAAGTTTCTCTTCATGCCTGTAATACAGGGCAGCTTTGAACTGTACTAACTTATTTCTATTGCATGAACGCGTTTTTCTATTCTATGTCTTCTGTTTTAGGCCAAAATTGGATCTGGAAAACTCATGGGCCCAAAAGGCATTTCTGTGGATCGTAATGGACACATCATTGTAGTGGATAATAAAGCTTGCTGTGTGTTCATCTTTCAGCCAAATGGGAAAATAGTCACAAGGTTTGGTAGCCGAGGGAACGGCGACAAGCAGTTTGCAGGTACACTTGATGGTAATATGTAAATCCCCTCTTCTTGCCTCTTCTGCTCACATTTGCATGATGTCTGAGCATGTTGAAGATGCTAAGCTCATTTTTTCTTTTCTGAGAGGGGAAAGTTCTACTAAACATAAAGCTTGTCTTTGCTTTGTAATTTGTTTAATTGGCCAGGAAGTCTGCAACCTATGTTCTGCAAATGTAGGCGTAACTATCTTGTTTTATCTACCTTTCTCTGCCTGGAAGCATTTCAGATCAGTGATTCAAGGAAGACAGACCTTAACAAGCATTTTATAAATGCTCTGTAATGCCCACACTAAGCTGTTAATTATAATCAACTCAGACATCGTGCTTTGTGTTTCCAGTGATCAGATACACTTTAACTCATGCCCCAGGTAGTGTCTTCCCATTACAAAATGGGCATAATGGGACAGTGTTAATACTGAGATCAAAAAGACTCACATATGCAAATGGCAAATGCCAGTCTGGGGAAGCTGCCACTTATATATTCAACTGTGTGTAGGCTGCATGGAGCAGATGAATTATCATTACTTGAATGTTTTCAGTGTAAAGGCCTTCATCCTGTTTGTACTGATGATTTGAGAAAACTGAAATTGAGTTTTTATTTGCTTAATAACTTAAAATGGCACCAAATATTTTTATTCAGGTGCTTTCCTGTTTTCACGTTTGTTTCTTATTCATGTTTTAGTACACAGTTCAACACACAGAAAAAAAAATGCACTTTTTTTTCCTGACAATATTTTCTAAGTAACTTTTGCATTTATCCTAAGCTTCTTTGCTTGAATGCTTGTAAGAAATGATCAAATAAAGCATAAAAGATTTTATTTAGGCTTTACTTTTTGACGGCTACTTTCATTATGTACACTACTTTATTCCAAACCACTACACATTTTCTCTTGTTAATCAACATATAAGTATCTGCGTAGTCATCCATATATAAAAGGAATAAACAGTACTTACTGATAACACTAGCTGACAAATGAAATAGTTTGTTTACAAGGAGTGCTGAACTTTTTAAAACAGGAAATGAAATTAAGAGGGGTTTGAAATTGATTGTCCCTTTTTGACAGAAGTCAAACAGTGGTCTTTTCATTTAGTGGCATTATTATTTTTATTATGATTCATTCTTCTTCTGTATTGCAGGTCCTCATTTTGCAGCTGTAAACAGCAACAATGAAATTATCGTTACAGATTTTCATAACCATTCTGTCAAGGTACCATTAGTTAATAGCAATTTGGGAAGCTTTTTATATTTTTATTTCCTGGGGAAAATAAAGTATTGTTAAAAACATAGAGACGATTCTTTCTAAGTGTGAGGCCCAATTAAAAGACTCGTAGATCTTTGCGTGCACTATATTTAATAGAGATGTAATCAGTTGCTTTAATAGAGATGTAATCAATATTACATTCTGTAGTTCACTTGCTTAAATATGTGTATGCTATGCCTGAGATAAATAATAACACCTTAGTTATTTTTAATTAGCTGTCTTTTGATATTTTAGATAACTGATAACTTCTTTTGAATTTCCCATTAAAAGCTTCCCACAGTTCTAGTTGAATATGAGCACAGCTAAGTGAAGATATCTGACAGGATCCTTTTATGACATGATACTCTTAACTGTGTAGGACAGACCACGATTTTCATCCAGTATAGCCTGCACAGAGCAGAACTGTCCACTGGCCATTTGACCAATGAGAAATCTGATTGGCCTATTAAACAGTTGTGGTAAGATAGGTGGTAGATTCGTTTGTCCCAGTAATAAACCAGAGCAAGGATGTATGTTGAGATGTCATATGCTGGAAAACACGAATTGAAGAGTTGCAGGCCATTTCAGAAATTAGTCACCTAAATTCCACCACAAATTAGTTTCTCTTCAGGCCATACCAGCCCTTTCAGCCCTTTCTATGCTCCTTTTTCCTCCCCCACCATGCAGTACCCCAGGAGCAGCGGATTTGCACCTAATGGCCGCCTGTTTGAATTGAACACAGAGATGCACTCTTGGTTCAGTTAACCAGTGTTTGAACTTAAATGATGTATCTTACAAATGTACCTGAAACATGAAATGTCTGTCTGCATACTGGTGAGCGTAAACAGCCTGATGACCTTAATGGTGCTGAATCATCCAGCTTCTGAGTAGGGACCTTGTTTTGTTGTGCTTTTGGAATTAGACAGGAAATGTGTTTTGGATTACTGCAGAAAGACCAAGGCTGCTGCAGAAGCCCTGAAGCAGATTGTTTAGGTGATTTAGCAGCAGGTCTATGTATCCATAAATCACCTCTCCAGCAGCAAAGCTTATTAAAGAATGACTGGAGAGAGTTAACAAGGGCCAGCTATGAGGAACAAAAACAAATGAAGAGATGTAAGAGTGTGGCATCTTAGCAAATTAAATGAATTATATTGCTAATGAGAACAGAGCATCCTGTCTGTGTCTGGTGTGACTCAGTGGAATAAAAATTTATTTGTTGCAATTTGGTACTAACTGGAAAAGATTCTTATTTTTGTAGCATTCTGTGCAGATAACTGTTGACACATTGGAGAGTTATGTATAAATTAGGTGATGCTGTCCTTTTTGGTTAGATAGTAAGGGAAAGAGCAGAGAGTAAACTTTGTTTCAAATAGTAAAGTACATTTATAAGTAAATGATTTTCACTCTTACGACTCTCAGCTTTTTCCTGCCACCAGTGTCTTGAGTTATACATCTTCATTCTGCAAAACATTCTCTTTCTTCTGCCATTAATCTTCAAGCATTTTCCTCACTTCAGGCATCTTCTGTGGAAAATCCTACTCCATATAGGCTCCTCTCCTTCTGTCACTGACCATCCCCATTTTAACCCAGGAAAAGAGCAAAATATCTTCGCCTGTTATTTTCTGATTAGGTGACCCTCCCTACTATTTTTTGTCATCTGAGCTAAAATTGATTTCCATTTCAAAATGCCTTCTGTCCTTTGTGGGTGCTAGAGAATAGGATGATTTTCTTACCTCTCTCACCTTCTTAGCACTTGTCAGTTCTTGCTATTTTCCTGCTTAGGCCACAGCTGGTCCCTTAAGAACACTGTTGGACCTTGTGGCAGAGCTGCGTCTGGGTCCAGGACAAACTTAAATGGAGATGGCTATGGAGCCATGCAAATGAGGCATCTTGTGTCTCACTCAGTGTCCTGAGATTCTTAGTACTTGTTAGGTTATGAAAGTCAAAGAACAGTGCATCCATGCTGTCAAGGCTCACTGCTGCTATCCTATCAGTGCTTTGCTCTTAACTCAGGATGCACAAGTTGTGGAGGGAGTCCTGGGGCCTAAGTGCTGCGTGGTGTAGAGAAGCAGGAGGCATCTTTTTTCCCATCTTCATTCTGAGGCCTTTACTGAGGCCTAGTAAAGATTCAAGACTGGAGACCAGTATTTTGCACTTATCTCTTTTTCAGACCTTACAAATATTTTGCTTTTTAAATTATAGAAATGCTGCTAATTTTGCTGAACTTGCTTTAAGGATAGGCTGGTGTTGGTATTGCCAGCGAGTTCTTTGTTCTTTTTTTTTCATTGTCTGATTTCACCTCGTATTCACAACTCAAATTTTCATCAAATTTCAATAATGCAAACACACTGAAATGCACTTACCAGCTATTTGAAAATGCAGATCTAAATGACCCTTGCTACAAGCATTTTTGTCTTAGTAAATACTTTTGCCTTATGCAAATATATAATTCTGCTAAGTATTTCTAAAACAAGAAGGGTAAAAATGAGAACTATAAATGTCCATGAAAAGGCAGGAAGGGGAATAGTGAGGGGGAAATAGTGCTGGATGTGGGGGAATGTTGCTGGTAGATCTCCAGTTCCCTGTTAATAGGTGAACTGGTAGTAATAGATTAGTAATATTTGATGTGATGCCATAGTTAAGCTTTTGTTTTAACCCTTACAGGTATTTAACCAGGAGGGAGAATTCATACTGAAGTTTGGATCAAATGGAGAAGGAAATGGACAATTTAATGCACCAACTGGTGTTGCTGTAGACTCTAATGGAAATATTATTGTAGCAGATTGGGGAAACAGCAGAATACAGGTAGAGATTTGTGTATTTCAAAGGTGCTTGATTAGGAAAAGCAATGGATTGATAACTGGTTGATCAGTAATGCTTTCAGGCTTCCCAAGAAGCAGAACAGCAGCACTAGAAGTGATGTGTAGCCTTTTGCATACCTCACTGTGGGTCTGTCCACTTTTAAAGTGATGGTGTCAGACTGTGGCCTTTCTAGTGTGGGTGCTGGCAAGTCTGACGGTTATTGTGATCAAGATCCTTGTCTCCAAGGAGCTTCCTACAAACTATTTCATGACTTGAGAGACTTGCAAAGCTTTACTGAGACAACAGTAACTGATAATAATCACCATAACAGAAGATTGCCAACATGATGGAAAATACGAAAAAGTAAACTGTACAGCCCTTGAGGCAAATGAGGCAGATTTTTGGCATCTTTTTTGAATGTTGTGAAAATATTCTACTTTTATATTGAGAGTGGCTTTTTATCTTTTGAGTGTTAATCGTGGTCCCTTCTTGCAAAGAAAAAAAAGAATCTAGCGAATAACTAAGCGTATGCATTAGTTTCACTGAATATAAAAATAAGGGAGCTGCTCATCAGTTGTTCTCAGGAAGCACTGACAACAATGCAAACAAATTCCTGGTTTTCTCTCTGGGTGGAAACTTAAAGAGACGTTCCAGCCACAACAGTAAAATTTGTTAGAAAACAAGGTGTTGGTCAAGTTCCCAATTGATTTTGATTTATTCTAGCTGCTTATTTTTTTTATACCTCATTGAATATCAAATTCTTGCCAAAAATCCTGGTAGCCTTGATTAGATCTTTTTAGTAAGAAAATACATTTGTATAAAAATTTGCCTATTATGAGAATAACAGATCAGATTCTGTCCATGTTTGTTGTAATATATGTCAGCAGTTTCAGAAATAAGAACAATGGTATAACTGAAAGTAGACATTTGTCCACTAGATCATTTTTTTATTCATAACTTTTCTTATGTGCTTTCTTGTATCTAAAGGTTTTTGATGGAAGCGGATCATTTTTATCCTACATTAACACCTCTGCTGACCCACTTTACGGCCCCCAAGGTCTGGCCCTTACTTCAGATGGCCACGTTGTAGTTGCAGACTCTGGAAATCACTGCTTCAAGGTCTATCGATACTTACAGTAACAGTGAGCTCTGGAGCTGGATAATTGTCCACCTTTAAGCAAAGACTGGTCCCAGAGATCCAAGGCAGGATATCTCCTACTTCAAGTTCATTTTTAACAGTGAAAGAGTCTACTTTGAACTTCTTACGTTAATTTCCAAACTTAACCTTGTTTACATAGAAATTGCACCTCTTACGTTCCTTACGTTCCTCACTGAACTTTTTGTTCTAAGGGTTAATACGCAGAATCCTCTTTAACTGAATTCATAAAGACAATGTGATATTAAATAAGAACTGCAACTTACGGAACTGCAATTAACTAGTTAGACAAGAATGAGAAAAATTTGGGGAAAAATCCCCAAAGCTTTTTGAAGACTGTGAAGGGTAGCTCCCGTTCAGAGCTTCCGAATTTGAAGAAGTATCATTGTTATGCATTGTTTCACCCAAAGGTGATCCTGGGAATCATTTAGATCTTGTTTTCATGGTAGGTATTACACTTTAAACATTCTTAAGTCTTACTATCTGTAACAAGTAGGTCCTTTTAGTTTAAAAAAAAAAAAAAAAAAAAAAAAAAAAAAAAGGTGAAGTCACACAAAATTGGTCTAGTTCAAACTGTCAGATTTAACTCAACATTTAGTGCTATGAGAATCAATGCAAATTTCCTGCTCATGTGGGATTAATGAAGGATTTTTTTGTATACCAGTTGTTCACTTTTTCTCTTGCTCTGTGTACTGGAAGGGCATTTCAGAAACTGTGTTTCTGAAGCTTTGGAAGAGCTGAACAGTAGTGATACATTAGTGAGAGCTGAATTTCTGCACAACAGCAGACTTTTTGACACCAAACTAGTTCATTGGGATCAGGGTTATTGCAATGTCAACTCAATTAACCTCGTGCATGCCACCCTTTCATATATGTTCATTGCCACATTTCCTTAAGGCAACTCATTGTATTAACAAATATGAAAATGCAGCAACACACAGGACAGAAAGCCAGAGAGGTACCCCAATGGAGGACCTACACTGTACAACCAATGGAACTGTGGTAAACAGAGGTTGTATAGGAAAGCCAAGGGTTACCAAAGCTATTTCTTTATACGTGAGAAAAAAATACATTGCAAATAAGAATGAATTTGAACCAATTCCTGAAGTCCTTCATCAAAGGGAATTTTGTTAGAGGATAAAATAAAGACTGTGAGATTTATTCTGATTTGTTTGTATGTATGTATGTTTGACTGACACAAATATTTTAAAAAGTAAATGTAGGTTATTTCAGCAAACTGGAACATATGTATGCCATATGACAATGGTAGTACTCTGAAAAATGTCCCTCTTCCTTCCTGCCAGATCTCTTTACTGTGTTCTTTACTGAATTATTAATATATACATTCATATATCAATGAATATTGATATATGATCAATGAAAACTTACAATCTTATGACTTGGTTCTGTTTATAATGTTATTTTTAAGTGTTTGTCTTTTTTAAAGTGGCATTGGCTTTATTCTTAATTCTAAATCCAGTGGTCAAACAATGAGTTACTACCATAGGCTAATAGAGGTGGAGTGGTGTTCACTCTAAGCTTCATTTGAGGAGCTGGTGAGTGTGCTGCCAATGCCAAAAGCAGTTTGGGAAGCAGTGTGTTTCTTTTCTAATTTTTAAAACCTTGAAACGAAAGGGCATTGGGTCAGTAATGGGAGAGTGTTTTAAGCATATTTGCAAAAATGAAAGAAACCTTTGTTAAATTACTTGTTACAAATATTAGATTTATTTCTAAAAAGGTTAAGATTGTTTCAACAAATTTAAGAAAAAATGTTTTGTTTTGTTTTGTTTTTTTTGTAAAGATGCATTTGACTTGTAAAAATGCAGACCTCCAAATTCTTAAATGTAGTGTTTGTCTACTCTTTTTAATTGCTGTTTCTTCTTCTCATTTCCATTTACAAACTCACACAAAGATCCCTTTTCTTATTTCATTTGAACAAATATTTTGTGTATAAGGCTTGAGATTTGAACTTATGTATACTGCAGCTAAGAAACTGGTGGTAACATTTTTTGGAATGTTAAAAATGAAGTTTGTTCTTACCAAAAGAAAAATAACCTTTGCTTAAACTGAGTTTGTCCTAAAATGCTGAAGGTGAGTTACCTCAGATATTATATAGTAAGATGTCCTATCAAAATTTGACGAAGTTGTCAATCAAACTTTATGACGATCAATTAATTTTATTCTAAGTGTCCTTATAAACAACCTGATAATTTCTAGCACTGGAATGCCTTTCAATGGCTAATTTATCAATGAACAAACATATGTAGCATTTTAAATGCATTCTTTAATGAAGAGGTTCTTTGAGATAAGTAAATTAGAAGTGTACCATCACCATCAGTTATGACAATACTAACAAGATTTAGTTCAAAAATTGAATTTTTGTAGTAACATTTTACTAAACATACATGCCTCCTACTGAAGAAACATTGCCAAATCCTTCATTGCCAGGTAGTATGAGAATTGCAGAAATCAGACCCTAATCTATAGGTATCAAAATGTGCACTTAAGATTATACTAATCCATGAATCCATTTTTCTGCAGATGAATTTCTGTTCATTCAGCTCAGTATTGTTTATCAGGATTTTAGGTAACCTCTGTCAGCCCATTGCATGTCTGTATGGAATTCTGCATGCAACTCCCTTGCTACCATGTATTAGGAGTGATGTGGATATTTTCTTAAGATTGAATAGTCTGTATTGAGTCTTCCCTTAAGGAAGAGCAGAACAACCCTTAAGGCACCTGAAAAAAAGGCACTTATTTGGATTTCCTTCTGATAGATAGCAAATGCTGCCAATTTGTGGCACGGGATATTTTGTTTCCAAAGGCTGACCTTATCTTCCTGGCACAGGAAACTGAGAAACATGTTGCTTTGGCAGTGTGCTCAGCTAAAATGCTTGAGTTACCAATGTTACAAAGAACAACCAAAGCAGGAATTCTGTTCTAAAAAAAAACTGGCAGATTCTTTTCTCATTCAGTTAGGTGAACATCAAAACTGCACTACTTGATTTACTGAGTTGTTAGCATTTATTAAAAGCTTATAGGCATTCTGCTGCCAGATTTCAGGTGTAACCAGAAATGTTGCTTCAACGTCCCTGGAATGCTGTGACTAAAAGTGTAGCACGAATGACAAAAGTATGTGCTTCATTTAACTAATTTTCAACTCAAAAGTAATCTCAACAGGTTATTGGTTCTTATGTAATATGGAGTATTTTAGGACAAACTAGCTAACTGTATTTTTATTATTTTGTATCCAGAATAAAGGAATATGTTCACATAAATCCACTACAAATAGGGGGTTCTTACATTAGTATAATGTAAGAATAGCAGCAATGTGGCTGTGTAAGAAAAGGCAAATGGCTTGAGGCAAAGCATTTGTCTAATGTAGATGGAGAGTTATTTATTAGTAAATGCTCTTCTGGTTCTTAAAGCTAGAGGGTTTTCAATTTTAGACCAGTTTTTTTTTTACAGTTAAGGATCTGGTGTTGCCATAATGAGGACTGTAAGTGCCCAATATGTTGTGTTTGTTATGAAGAAATGACTTCCAGCTGTGGGTGACAGCTAGTTATAAAATCATGATGTACATTGGCAATTTTCTTGAGTAACTGTGAGCAGTGATTGCTTTGGACTGTTGGTGGAGAGTATGAGAAAGGTATTTGTGCTATGGGGTAGGAAGTTTCCTCACTGGTTGTGTTCTTTCTGATGAATGTACAGCACTTCGGTTGATGTCTGTGAGCAACACGGCCTTAACCTTGACACTTTTTGCTTTGGCTTTATGACATGGGAATGTTCCCCAAGCTGCACAGCATATGGCAGTATCCCCACATTAGAAATTTCTACCAGTTGATACACTGCAGCTTTCCGGTTCCAAGACTCTATCTTTCCTCTTCATTTTTAAAAGTTTTTTTGTACATTCCACCTTTTTAAGTCTGTTTCATATGTTTTGTGTACACGTAAGTCTTGCACTCTCTTGAAACTCATGATGAAATATTATTCTCACTTGTTTTTGTTTCATTGTTTTGCTTTCTTTTTAAATCCCTGTGAGGCTAAATACAACTTTATCTCTTTAACAGCGAGTATGAAAGATGCACATCAAAGTGTTTGTGTGTGTGTATGTGTGTGTATAGTTTTAGCTTCCTGTGTGCCACAGCATTCTTAATGCTTTAGCCAATGATAAAAATAAAAAGTACTCTGTCTTGGAAATGTAGGAAAATCAATCAAATATGTACCTTTACCACGCACAAAAATTTCAAATAATAACAATAAAGCTTGTTTCCTCTGTTATTTTTGAGAATTTATTTTTCACGTGTTTCGTACTCTCTGTCCCTGAAAATATCTCCATAATGCAGCAAGATGGAAACTAAATTAGTACAGCATAGGTCACAAGCCAAAAAGAACCCTGCAATTGCTTCATGGGTGGTTAGCTTCTATGTAAGAAGGAAAGAGGGACCTGGTCCTTCTTGGGAAGAAGGTGGAGAGATGGGCTTACTTGTCCTCCATGTTCTTTTGAAGTTCAATAATCAAAATGAATATTTTCATAGATGATAGTAAGATTATGAGAAGTAATCTCTTCCACTTTTATCATGGAAGTACATAGTGCCTTTCAGCTATGCAGTGCTACAACCGTCCCAGGGTCTGCTTCAGAAAACCAAACGTCAGTTGTTGTAGAACACAAAATAGGACTTAGTTCACTCCCACTCTTTTTCTGAAAAAGCAAGACTTGAACTCATGCTAACTTTCTTTTTAGATAGTAAACGTATTTTCTTTGTCACTGGTGAGCTCTCTAATCCTGGATTCTTCAATAAATTAATGTCAGTTCTCACTGACTGATCAGAAATGTATTCTGTCCCCTGGATTATTGCACCAAAGATTCTCTGCCATGGGGCAAAATCAAACATGCAGGCAAGCCGAGAGTAGAGAATGCTGCTCTTTACCTAGAAACCTGTGCAGTATGGCCAACTTCCTCTTTGGCCTTTCTCTGGTACTTCAATTCTGCGCAGAGTGCTCGTGATCTTTCAGAATATCAGCAGACAGCAATATAAAATCTCAAATGAGAAACAGTGCTAGGGAGCGTAAAGCTGAAATAGCAACTCCCTCTGTAGATTTGTAACCACTTACATACAGATTCAAATTCAAAAGCATTTTATTGTTCCTTAGGCTAAAGTTCTCTTTCACATTCAGCTGCACTGCTGTCAAAAGGTTCACAGGCTGGTTTGGCCTGGTTCCATGACCAGCAGGGCGGAGGGATTTTGCAAAATCCACACCTCCAGAAAAGGGAAATGGGACCCTGAAATAGTTAAAAACAGTGGCGACAATCTGAGGAGAAACAAACTAATTTACTAAATACTCTTCCTTGATGACCCGAAGTCTCATGGGCCCACCAAGCTAGAAATAATTCACCCTTGTTTTGCCAATCCAAGTCTATTTGAGCCACCTCAATTTTCGCAGCTCAGTCTACATGATGGTTATTTTGCTGCTCTTCAGTAGCCCGACTCTTGGGCACATGAGCATCTACATGGCACACCTTTATAACCATATTCTTTGTTCAGACAGTTCAGCAGCCCAAATAGGTTTACCACTTCTTTGCCAGTTATTTTGCTCCCACTGCTGTAACCACCCCCATAAGGCATTTGCTACCCTCCATGAGTCAGTGTAAAGATAGAGCATTGGCCACCTCTCCCGTTCAGCAACATCTAAGGCCAGTTGGACAGCCTTTACCTCTGCAAATTGGCTTGATTCTCCTTTCCCTTCAGTGGCCTCTGCAATTCGTTGTGTGGGGCTCCACACAGCAGCTTTCCATCTGCGATGCTTCCCCACAATACGACACAATCCATCTGTGAACAAGGCATATTTCTTTTCATTCTGTGGTAGTTCATTGTATGGTGGGGCCTCTTTAGCACGTGACGCCTCTTCTGCTGGTGATGTTCCAAACTTTTTACCTTCAGGCCAGTCCATGACCACCTCTAGGATTCCTGGATGGCTGAGGTTCCCCATCTGAGCTCATTGCATAATCAGTGCAATCCACTTACTCCAAGTGGCATCAGTTGCATGATGGGTGGAGGGAACCTTTCCCTTAAACATCCAGTTCAACACTGGCAGTCGAGGTGCCAGAATGAGCTGTGTTTCAGTACCGATTACTTCAGAAGCACCCTGAACCCCTTCATTTGCAGCTAAGATCTCCTTCTCAGTTGGAGTGTAGCACTCTTCAGACCCCCTGTAGGCTTGACTCCAGAATCCCAGGGCTCGGCCTCGGGTCTCTCCTGAGGTTCTCTGCCACAAACTCCAAGTGGGACCTTTCTCTCCAACAGCAGTGTAGATGATGTTCTTTACACCCTGTCCCATCCATACTGGCCCCAGGGCCACGGCACAGGCTATCTCCTGTTTAATCTGCTCAAAAGCCTGCTGCTGCTCTGGGCCCCACACAGAATCATTCTTCTTCTGTGTCACCTGATAAAGGGGGCTTACAATGAGGCTGTAGTTTGGAACATGCATTCTCCAAAAACCCACTACGCCCAGAAAAGATTGTATCTCTTTCTTATTAGTGGGCAGAGACATGGCAGTGATTTTGTTGATCACATCTGTCGGGGTGTGATGACGGCCACAGACAGCTGCTTAACACCTTCTGTGTATACAGCAGCTATTCCAAAAGCCATCAATACCCTTTGGGATCCTTGAAATGTCCCCTTCTGAGGTAACCAATACCAAATCTACACAGAGCCCGTGGGCCAGTCGCAATAGGGTGCTTTGCCAGTCTTTACCAGTGAGGTTTATTTTGTCCTCCAACATAGTCAACTTTTGGGAATCCCCAGTCACCCCATGAATACAAACTTACTTTTTCTCTTGGTGACTCAAGGGCATTAGAGTGCACTGTGCACCAGTGTCCACCAGGGCCTTATATTTATGTGGTTCTGACGTGCCAGGCCATCAAATCCACACAGTCCACTCTATTATCCCTTTCCTCCCCCCTGGCTGGGGGCAGGGACCCTCTATTTGTTACCTCGGTTGTCCGCAGCAAGTGGAGCAATCACCTTTTTGGAAAAGTTCACCTTGGTGGTTGATTTGTCTTGTAATTAACAACATCTGCTTCCAGAGGGTGAAGGACCCATTCTGGCATGTACTAATACCTCTGGCAACGACTGAGTCCCTAGCAATGCCACCCAGTTGGCAAGCTTCTCTACTATCTAGCCACACACTGTTGGCCCCATTATCCCAACATTGAAGTAACCAGGTGACAATAGGTTCATTTGGGTGATACGAGAAGTTTTTTCTCAGACTTCGAATTTCATTCATTTTCATTTTCAATCAACAATGGTAACGATATCTTGCTCACCTCTCACTCTTTCAGGACTTCTTGTTGCCCTTGTAGGAGTTGGTGACTGCAGTCTTGTTGAGGGCCCTTCCCCTGGGTTCAGGGGCACTTCTTCTGGATATCTGAGCCACTCCTCTGGAACTCTTTCCTCCTCTTCTCTTACTGTGACCTCCTCTACTTTAGCCTCCTCCTCTTTCTTCTGTTCTGAGTTTAGTTTCATTTTCTGTCCTCTTACAGGGGCAACTGACATTGATTCTGGTGCCTCCTGTGGTTTATCAGGTTGGTCAGTTCTGATGTTCTCACCCTCCAGCTCGGCTGGGAGTCTATCTTGTTTGATTATGAGGATATTTAGTTCAGATTCAAGCCTGGCTTGATGAGACTGAATTCTGTTCAGTTCCATTTGGAGACCGAATTTTGCGTGCTGGAAGGCATCTCACTCAGTTCCCATTTGGACTTGAGGATGTCCCTCTCGGTCCAGAGGGCATCTTGTTTGGACTAGAGGGTGTCTTGTTGAAATCGAAGGTTGTGAAGTCTGTATTGCAGGGAGTCTCTCTCGAGGGCATCTCTTGTATCTCTCTCACATTGGAGGTCTTTTCTCTCGACTGGGAGACTCTCTCGCTCAGCTGGAGATTCTTCCTCTCAGCTCAGAGTCTCTCCTGGAAACTCTCCTTTTCGGATTGGAGACTCTCTCCCTCATTTTCAGAAACTCTCTTCATCTGTGGGACAGTATTGAACAAGGCCTGATAAGCATTAGCCAGGCCCCAAATCATTTGTGCCTCCTCAGACCTGCCTGAGCCACAGCATTCCTGTCTCAAATATCTGTTAAAGCTCTCAGAGTCTTTCAGGTGTTCAGGAGTAAAGTTCCATTACACTGAGGATGTCCATCTCTCTGAAGACTCTCCCAGGCCTCTCCATACTCCCTGCCACTCAGTATTCTCTGGTTCTGGCGAAGGCTTTCTCAGAATATGATAAATACAAATACTGAGTGAAATGATGAGCAGTACATTCAGGGAGATTAATAATGTGATCAGATGAGCATTCAAAAAATGATAAAGGATTCAAAGGAGAGACTGTGAGCCTGCTTAAAAATCACAAGGTCTGTAAAATCAGCAGCTCTCTCTGCAAACACGTTTAAAAGAGAAAGCAGTGTTTTTTTTGTTTTTTGTTTTTTTTTTCTCTTTACAGAAGCAAAATAGCAGTATTCAAAGGTTACAAATATCCCAGAACGTTGGCAGTCTGCCTGGACTTTTAAGGTCAAGTTTTCAGTGAGCACCTGTGAAAGAGATAAACTTTCCCAACGAAGCTCTCTGAGTGCACAGAGAGATTCATTCTAAAAAGCCAAAAAGCAGCTTTTGCCTGCATTCTCCACCAATAATTTTATGGGCTGGTTCAGCCCGGTTCCATGAGGAATTTTGCAAAATCCACGCCTCCAGACAAGGGGGACAGGGGACCCCGAAATAATGAAAAACAGCAGCAACAATCTGAGGAGAAACAAACTAGCTTACTAAATATGGTATCGGAATGCAAGACAGCACACCATAATACAATATAATTAGAACTCAAGCTAATAGATCAAATATAATGAAAGTGTCCGAAAGGTGGATAGGCCCCACCACAACGCTGAGCTGAGACGCGCAGCCCCGCTGGGCAGCGGGCAGCAGAGCCCGGCGTCCGGAGGCCCCTTTCCCCGCCAACACGCCGCCGGCCGCTCGCCCCCCGGTGACGCCAGGTGGCGCCGGAGCCGCGCAGGCGGCCTCCTCCTTGTGGCGCCGAAATCAAACCCGCCCTGGAGGCCACGATGGTAAGCGGGGTGGCGGTGGGGTCGGGCGCTCTCCCCTGCGCTCCATTAGCGCAGCCGGTAGCGAGGGCCGGGCAGGAGCTCGCAGGAGCGGACCCGCGCCCGGGCCCGGCGGCCATTACGGCGGAGAAAGCGGCGGTGCTCCGCGCTGCGCTGCTGGTTTCCTGTTGAGCCGGC